ACATGACGTACGCCGGGGTAAGGAGGGGAGGCTAGACCGTCCAAATTCACAGACACTTTTTTTCCGGTCTTCCCGGCCTACCAAGGACCCGGCCCGCCGAGACCGGGGAGTCTGGGTCCTCCGGAGGACCCAGCCTGTCGTTTTGGACACAGCCTAATAGAGTATTTCGAAGGACCCCCTTTAGCTTTGAAGATGGCACACATTCACTGTGGCTTCAATGTCACGAGATTTATTTCCATCCATTGTTGCATTAAATTTTCACCAAGTTCTTGCACTGATGATGGTGGAGTCTGACCTTCTCCAGCACATCCCAAAAATTCTCAATGGACTCTGTGGTGCCAATCCATGTGTGAAAATGATGTCTCATGCTCCCTGAACCACTCTGTCACAATTCCAGCCCCATGAATGCTGGCATTGTCATCTTGGAATATGGCCGTGCCATCAGAGAAGAAAAAAAAGATGCAATAACATGGTCATTCAGTATATTCAGGTAGTCGGACCTAGGGTTGGGCATAATCGTATCGTGTGCAATTAATCATGAGAAAAACAATCGATTACTTTTTGGCACTTGACGATTAATACGATTAATGCCACCAGGCAGAGACCACTTGCTGCTCCTCTCTGCTTCAAATATGATGCACATTTTTTTAACAAGTTCTGTAATTTATTTATCTATCAACACAATTTAAAATTTGATGTATAGCCTGAAGTCTGTAATTTTGACACAATTTGGAACAGATTTGTATGAAGAGCAAATCTTTCTCACTAAATTAGTCATGTGACCAGGACATAAGGGTGTCCAGGGACTCCAGGGGATTAATTGTCAAATTAATCGTTATCGACTAAATACCACAATTAATCATGATTAATTTTTTTTGCCAATATTGCCCAACCCTAGTCGGACCTCATTCTTTGAGCACAGACTGTTGCTGAACCTAGACCTGACCATAGATAATTAAATCCAGGTGGCAACTTTTTTTTGGACATGCAGTGTAGAAGAATTTAAACTTTGGTTTCAGTAAAATGTAAAAAAAATACTTATTACTATTAGTTACTATCTGGTAGGTGTGCAAGGATAAATCAGCTGGCCAATTTATCGGCACAGATTTCCGTAACTTTGGGAGATTGGCTGATATCTGGATAAGATTGTGGTACAGATCGGCTTCTCATCTACAGTACCTCTGTAAAGGTATAAAAATCATTCACTGTCCCCTTTTGCTCTGCTGTAAGCACTACCTAATGTCCAGTTAAAACAAGTTTGTATCGTTTCAAGAGTGTTCAATGATTGGAACATTGAAGGTGTATTGTCACCTCATAACACCTGACAGTGTCCGTTATTTAAAAAGTCTGTATCGGCAAATATCGGAATCGGCAGACTTTAAAGATTGGTGATAAACTGCAATTGGTGCACCCCTACCTTTGGATATTTCAGACACAAACATCTACATATTTCATCCAGCTCTAAAACAGCCTAAAATAACCCGCCCCTCTGATGATTGTGTAAAGGTCGCTGGCTTACCGGAGGTGATAAGATGCTCCCTCAACTCTGCATGATGCTAGCAACAGAAAAGCGTGGAAACAGAAAGAGAAGAGAAGCGAAAGAATAACGATAATGGGGGAATAACGGAGGCAAGGGGAAGAGATGGCAAAAATGTGATTTTGGACAGAGATTCAAAGAGAGAGGGGGGAGAGAAGGGTGTCCGCCATGTGTTGTTGACCAGATGTTCACAGTTGCAGGTTTGTGTGCAGCAGGGTTGGCAACAACGGGCAGCATCAGCAACAGCAGCAAGAGACGTTGCAGCCAAATGTGACAAGTGACAAACAAAAATAAAATAAATAAAAGGAGACAAGAGACAAAAAAAAGAAAAGAAAAAACATGTTAGTTCAACTAAAATGGTAACAAAAGACACAAATTAAAACAAAAGTGGCAGCACAAACAGGGTGATGGGCTGGGAGGGAATGACCGTAGATTTAGGCAAAACCAAATGAACAAACTAAAGTGCACACACAGAACATCACACAATGACTGCAACAACCTAATATCAAAGGCTTGTATTTCAAGTAATAAACATTTACTGTGAAATCAGCTGTTCATTTTGAAAAACACCACAATTTTAATCAACTAATCTTGATTTGTTGCACATGTCCTCAAGATGGCGATGGTGAGATGGTCTTTGGCACTTTAGTCCTGGAGGGCTGCTATCCTGCATGTTTTGCATGTTTCTCTGCGCCAACACAAATTTGAATGAATGTGTGATTACCAAACTTCTGTAGAACCTGAAGATGTAATTCCATCTCTGTATCTTGTGTGTTGGAGCGGGGAAGCAGTAAAACATGCAGAATAGCTGTCCTCGAGGACCAAGATTGCCCACCCCTGCACTGAGAGTGTGGCTGATGCTGTTGCAGTTGGACATTTTGAAAACTTAGCCTACTCTTGCCTCAAAAATATTCAGAAACAGCTCAATCAGATAGTTAAAATACAGTGGGGAAAATAAGTATTTAGTCAGTCACCAATTGTGCAAGTTCTCCCACTTAAAAAGATGAGAGGCCTGTAATTGACATCATAGGTAGACCTCAACTATGAGAGACAAAATGTGAAAAAAAAAATTGAGAAAATCATTTTGTCTGACTTTTAAAGAATTTTTTTGCAATTTTTTTTTTTTACAAATTGGAATTTGATATGAAGGTTTTTGTACAGTGCCCTGAGA